TGCGGCCCTTTTCCCTGCCCTTCTTTTACGTGTTATTCCTACGCGCTGCCTAACCCAATACCGCCGGATGGGCCACTTGTTATCCGATTTCACTCAGAGTTCCTCAACGTTACGAATCTTGGTCCGGCTGACCCAAAGTTTCGTTTACATCACTTGGAAAGCCTCGTGGGCTCTTCCACTCTTTACCAATAAACCCCTCTCATCCAGGCTCCAACCTTTGCTTATATCGCTCCCTGTTTTCATTCCTTGTTAATCGGACGGCCGGCTACACCCAGCTCCAGCTACCTTTGTAATATCTCATTAGCACCCTAGTATAATTTGATTATCTGCGCGTCGTTGTGTCTTGACCGCTACGCTCGGACCTATCCAACAGCCGTGTTGTATGCTTGCGCATCATCCGTTCGCCCTCCTTTCTTCATGAAACTTTTCTTAGCTCGCTTCTGTGGAGCAAACATAACTCAAGTAGTCCGCGCACAGCACTTCCTTCTAGACGTTCGTTTACCTATAACTCGCTACGTCTAGGGCACATACTTATACTGAAGTCCAGCTCTCTCAATGGCTTTTCCCGGCACAGGCTTCCTTTCTAGGTATACTGCTGTCACCTACTCATCTGCGACACCTAAATAATTGTAGTTCAGCTCTCTCAATGGCTTTACCCGGCTCATGCTTCCTTAGATATATCCCATTAGCACCTGAGCATGGTTTGATTAGCTGCGCGTCTATGCGTCTTAATCTATTATGTTCTGAACTATTTAACCACCTCATTATATGCTTGGGCTTCACTCGTCCGCTGTCCTTCTATCACGAAACCTCTCTTAGCATTTTTCTGCCATGAAAGCATATCCATGTATTCAGCGCAAGCCGCTGATTTGCCTCACATTTCTAGATGTTCATTTATACCTTACTCGCTGTATTGTCTTAGGCTTTGTTACCTGCAATCCTCCAGCTCTCGGAATAGCATTCCCTGGCTCTATCCAGCTTAGTACTATTTTCTCAGCACCCTAGCTGCTGCGGTTAGGTCTCATGTTCTGATATCCTCAGAAACCCTAATGTGCGCTAGCATTCTGGTTATTCCCTGCCCTTCCGTCAATTAAACTTTCTTAGGTTTTTAGTTCATCACTCCTCTCATCTGGTCAGTTCACAGACGTCCGTTAGGTTCTCATTTATAGACCTTCATTTCTCACTTACTCGCCGCTATGTTTGCGACATTTACCCATGCAAGATTCCAGCGGACTCACTGGCTTTTACTGGGTCAGCACACCCTAATACTAATTCCTTAGCACCCTCTGCGTGACGCTACGTACACACTTGTTCCGCATGTTTGCTGTCCATTAACTGATCTTTCTTACTTCACTTCTACCGGTCGATCCTTTCTCACTTAGTGTTCTGTGTCCAGTTTGCAGTAAAGGTTTCGACACTTTCTTATGTAGGAAATAACCTCTCTCACTGGCTTTTCCCATCTCAGTCGGCCAAAGCAATATACTCTTGTAGTGGAGTTAAAACTAGCTTTCGACCACCGCACCGGAAGGAAAGAATTAGTGCCAGCTAAAAGTATCAACACACTGACCTTCAGTAGTGACGGCTGGACTAACTTCACTGATATTGCACACTCCCTGATAAGATATTCCAGTGTTGGTTCCGCGAAGCTCAAACCTTCCAAGCACACAAAGAAAGCAATCGCAACACGCCGCCGAAGGAAAGCAGAACGCGCCGTTCGAGGTGGAGAATTGTGTATACGAAAAAACGATCATTTAAAACAACTGTACAAGACGCATATAAAAACGAAATGAGAGAAGCGCAAAAAGTGGAAAAGCTACGAACGCTACAGGACTCTCCCTAAAGCGTGAGTGGGCAAGCGAAGGCTCGAAAGGTACGCCTCACTGCTTGTAAAACGCTAGTTTAGAAGGAAGAACCATCGTCCGACCAAAACGTGTGCGTTTGCGTGTGTGAGTGGTTGCAGGGGGCTGCAGGGGGTTGCGAAGAAATGACACTGTGATCACATGTAGGCTGTGTGGAGAAAGTGCTCGGCGATGGATTATCTTCGGGGACAGATGCGTCTGAATGTTGCTGAGATGGAAGAGGTTAGATGTAAGCAGGTTTCAAACGATCGATACTCACAGAGTCTTTGCAACCATTTCGGTCCGACACGAAACACTTGTCTTTGCGGTCGATAACCTTGTAAGGACCCTCGTAGGGTGGCGTCAGAGGTTTACGAACAATATCGATGCGCACAGGAACGTAGTGACAATCACGAAGATCAGGGTGGACCTGTGGGTTACGAAGCGTATCGTGGAAGTGTTGAGCCTACCGAGCTGAAGTGACTCCTCAAGCGTGTGGCATAGGATGTAGGATCCATTTCTCCATTGACCCTTGAATCCAACACCATCTCTCCAGGAAGTCCAAGTGGAGTACCATAAACTAACTCAGCAGGACAACAGCCTATGTCTTACTTGACCGTGTTACGTATGCCAAG